TAAATTTCATCCTAGGTGGTATTAAAAAGGTCTTAAGAAGTCTTTAACTTTGAGAATCCTGGGGGGGGTACCCTGTATATATGCGAGTTGCCCTTGCTCTCACATGTTTGATTATTTTGCTTTTATTAGTTTGCACTGTGGCGGGAGTAGGTGCCCACTCAGTCAGGGAAAATTGCAATTGAATTTTTTAAGATTCATTGCACATTGCCAAAGCAGGATCACACACAAACCAGATTCATTGTTTTTCTTAATTTAAACAGTGTGCAGCTAGCCCCAGGTTGTCACAGAATAACCACACTGGTTGGGTTTTATCTTGACATCCCGCACAACTGCCATCAGTGTCGAAGATGGGGACACTCTTGGGACACACAATTTACTCAGGTCCATTAAAAAAAAAAGACAATTAAAGGTTCTCTCCTCTTCACATCACAGAAAGCCCTCAGGACCGCCAGTTTCCAATCCCCTTTCCATATCTTAAGCCGAGAAACACCAGGTTTCCGAGGCAACAGCTGTGTGCATCGTCTTTTTCCCCCCCAATGTGTGTGGCAAAGGTAGAGCCCAAAGCACCATCGCTGCAACAGAGGTAGAGACCTGTGACTGAAGTGGTCAATGTAATAGAGCAGAATAATGGCTGTTCATGACCGTTCAACTGTGTTGGTTAAATCTCATAGAGATACGACAGGAAACAAGAATTTGTCTGTGAAAAGAAAAACACTTTTCTTTTGGATCATGTACAGGAGGTTATGCAACCATGTATGGGTTAAATTGTCTATTCCTGTGTGCCTGCAGCCTCAAAAACACCAGAAGTGCGGCGCCACTCCCTCTGCACACGTCACACTTGACTGCAATTTGTGCCATGCGCCTCGATTCACAGAATATGCACTCACTGTCTGTGCCAATAACCTTCAAGCAATGTTCTTCAACTTATCTGGATCAGGAACAAAATCAGGACCACTGTCTTTGACTTAAAAAGCCTAAAATACCTCTTACTCCTCTGCCAAGTTCAATTGAAGGTCCAATATTTAATGCTTTACTTCCTTTTTTGTCCCAGTTGATCAAATTAATGCATGACTGTGCCAATGCTTCACTGGACAAACAAGATATTAAAAAGGTTTAGCAGCACACCATTTCAGGTCATAATACAATCGCAAACGTTTTAGTTTCTCAGGGCTTTAAGACATTCTGCATCTCCAATATTGCCGTTCCTGATATGAAGCTTATGAAGCTTCTAGATTCTGACATTTGAGACATTTTGACTGTCAACCATATGTCTTTCAGGATTTACTGTGACCTTTAAGGTTAAAGAGTAGGTGAAAACAAGCAAGAGGATTTTATTTTCTACAACCCTCAGTTACATATGGATTCAGCTTCTTGAAAAACAAACCTATGAAATCAAAATAGAGACAGTTTTATTTCAACAATACGTATGATGCTCCAAAATGAAAAGCAGAATTCAAATGCCTGAAGGGAGCTTGGATTTCTTGCTTTTTTGTTTTGTAGAACAAGATCTGTGATGTCCATTTCTTCCTCGCTTCCTTCATGTACTACAAATGCAGCATGAGAAACAGAAGGGTGAACATCTGTGGTGACAATGGATCCTGAGGATGTGTATTGTTAGAGGATGAATGTTCATGAATTCATTTTAGAGGCAAGTGTGCTAAATTGTGCAAAATGTCCCACAAAAAAATGCTTTCGACAAGCAGTTTACAGCAAAATAAAAAATACAGTTTTAAATAACAAATCTAATCTCAATGATAATTTAACAAGACCAATTTGAACAGCGTAACTGTGCAACTGCGGCAGAAGCCCCAACAGTCTTTCATCAAACAATAGTCGATGATTTGCTCTGCACATAATGTACTTGTTGGAAAATATTTTATGCAGTTCTGGCAAGCAGTTTTAGTCCTTAAATTACTGGGATGTGCATTCACATGAGATTCTTTCGCGAGTCCTCTGTCTCTGCCAAAATAATAATACAGTAATACACGTAATTTGTTGAGTTCTTACGTAGCAAATTACAGATGTGGCAGAAAATCTGCAGAAGAGTACGATCGGTGACAATCACAGAAATGATCACAAATCAGTGAGCGTCTGGGGGTTACATTATTCCTGTGTGAATGGAGCTTTAGTGATTATTAGTCTTACTCCTATTCCTGCACATAAATGAGGAAATGGTAGGAGCTCACAAAGACAGAACGAATGAAGTAAATTTCTTGTAAGCAGTGAATGTGTTGGGAAATTATAATGTAATGCAGAAGTACTCCACAACCTTAAAATATTCAATTTCTTCACTTCATCCTACAAATTATGTTTGGTTGTGCTGGATAAGTGAAGTAAGTGTGTCTCCATTTCTCCCTGTCTGTATTAACCCCGCATGGCCTTCCCATTGTCCTGCTTTTTTCCACTTCTTATCATATTTGCCCCTGCGGAGCCAAGCTGTAAATTTCCCCTCAAAGCCTCTTGGTTATGACTGACATGATCATGGTCGAGGCTTCAATATACTTAGAGGGCCGTCGTGATTACCTCCTGTCAGCTGTTATCATTATCACCATCAGGCAGTAGCTTTGTGCTTAGTCCCATCTCCACTTGAGCTGTGTGGTGGATCTCCAAAACAAGCTCCTCTGTAGAGCAACGTGAACACGGACAGTAGTCTGTGTGTGTGTGTGTGTGTGTGTGTGTGTGTGTGTGTGTGTGTGTGTGGGGGGGGGGTAACCAAATTATTTAGCATACTGAGTCATTTCCAAAACACATTGTAAACCTTAACATTCATTTGTGGGCAGAATATTTGTCTCCTGCAAAAGCAGTGCTATCCCATAACACTCTGGGAGACATTACCCTCATTTATTTTGAAATCATTCGAGATACTTTGCATTTTACTGCATCATGCCTTAGTGTGCCTCGAGGAACAATATAGAAATTCTTATCCCTGCAACGATCTGCCTCTGTGTTTGCAACACGTTTTATATGACTGCATCTGCATGCTGAATCCAAAGAACTGCAATTACAAACAGATCCTCTAATCACGCCACTTCAGATGTAGCAGGTTCACTAAGTCAGAAGCACAGAAGCACAACATATCCATCTGAATCTCTCAGAAAAGATGACGCCCCTTACCCTCAATAAAATCTGTTCTGCCTAACACATTCCCTGCTGGACAATAAATCTGAGTTTGCTTCTCTTCCACCACAGCCATTTACTGTGAAAAGGGGCTCTCTGCTCTGTATGTCTCAACAGATGAAGAAGCTGGCGGAGAAAAGTCATTTACTTGTGGTCACACTCATGAGCCCAGGGAGTCATCGCATTATGAGCCCTGTAGCGTGCAGACTGAGGGATGGCAGGGGAAAGACTGTGAGGAGCTACAGATGACTGTGCATTACATCAAACAAGAGGTGTGGTTAAAAACATGAATATGAGATATGCGGAGGAGGAACTCCTTAAAATGTGGCAACTCTGGCTGGCACAGGACAGAGTGAGAAATTATCCTCAGAATGAAAGACGACTTAAAACCCTGATCTGGATGTTGTCCAGTAATTAAGACCAGAGAATGGCCTCTGACATTGGCTGGTTGAAAAGCATGAAAAGATTAAGCTAATATCAACACAATATCATGGTTCTTCCTTATGTTTCTGAAGTGTCTGCACCATCAAGCCTGCTTTTTAACCTTAACTTTTTTTTTCTTTACCTTTCCACATGTAGAACCAACAGGTTAGTTGCCAGTCACCACTATGTGCACAAAGATGCATCAAAAATAATCAATTTTAAGAGCATGGGTGCTTAGTCAGGAGCCTTCTCCAGTGCTACCACTGGCTGGAAACCATGTGTTGCCTATTTGCGTGACCCTGTGTCAACAAACAGCAAAGCAACCATAATTCTGAGAGCATGTCTTGTTTGTGTAGTCTGTGTTGACCCGATTTTTTAGTGATTTTTAGGGAGAAGTTGCATGTACTTCTGCAAAGGGTGAGATGGGAAGATTTGAATTATTTAAGCTGTTGGGACTGATGCTGTAAAAACATCATTCCAGTTGGACATTGCTCAGCATAAGTGGCAACTGATACACTGCATGGTCACAGACAAAGAGGAGGGGTAAGGTGATAAGGAGGGAGAGAATAAACAGGGAGGAACAGAGAGAGAGATTGGATTGTTTTTTTTTTAATGAGGCAGGCTTATGTCTCCTCAGTATGTGCAGCAAAACACAGCAATACTGACTTTAAATTATCAAGAGAAACAAATTAAATGGCAAACGTGTTGTTAGTTTTACACACAAACTGACACCACTGGCTTTAATTTGATAGCCAGTGCTGTTGCTGTAAAAAGCTACCAGACCCTTCGCTGGAACGTTATTTTTATTTTTTTATTCAAGGTTAATTTAACCTGTGCTCAACAGCCTATTCACAGGTTGCGGTAGCTTGCTTCTGACAGGATTTCCAGCACGCTGCTGGGTCAAGAGTTACAGTGCAGGTGCGGATTTATCACCACAAACGTCGCGCGCGCCGTCGTTTAATTGCCCATTAACGGAAAGTAACAATTATCGCTCGAGCCGTAGTGTCGCATTGTGTTGCCATTTGACTGTCCTGAGAAGTCCAGTCAAGCTGGAGAAAAAACATTTAACACCGCCATTGTCTTGAATTGCATTCCCACAAATAACAACAACACCAAAAAAGAGAAAACCCTCCACATTTGTTGCTCGCGCTGCTCAAACATTACTTTAAATACCCTGACGAAATCTTTATCATACAAGGCAACAGCGCCGCATCCTCACGTCTGCATCATTTGTACTTCAGCACGCCAGGGCGACCTGTTAAACCGGCAATTATACTGCGGTGGCTACACAAACAGCAGTTGTTGCATGTGAATGAAACATTGCAATTGAGCACATTTGCTTTCATCTCCGTCTGTTTTCCTGGCGGCGACATGTGCGAAACCCAACTAATCACGTTACATGAAGCCCACCATAGGTAATGTCTAGCATTTAAAAAAAATATATATATATATATTCTCACCAGCAGCAATAAGGTGTCTGTTGTTGCTTTCTCTTCTCTTTCCCGTCTGGGTTTCCTTGGAGTTAATGAGGTTCTGACGTTTGGTCCGTCTGTTTTCTCCCTCAGCTGTTATTGTCCACTGGGTTTGGATTTTTTTTTTTTCCAGCGGTGAAATAATAGGGAAATCGGCGTCCTTTCGCAAAGCTCTGCCCTCTTCAAACTAACCTTCCCGCCCCCTCTTTCTACCCATCTCAGATTGGTGCTGGCCAGGAGGGGCAAACTCTGAACCCGAGGGCTGCTTTAGAGGCGGTTATCTGTCACGCGGATCAATGCCCACATGGACGTGCTGTGGACCTTTTTGCGGGAGGGCTCACTCTTAAACCGACCAGCGTGTCAGTGATGCTCTCGACAGCTGGAAGGCACTCGCTCCCCCCACCCCACACACTCCTCGTGCGTTATTGCACAACAACCTCCCAGGCGAGAAAGAGCAGTGAGTGGGCCCACTTATTCAGCGGGCAGCGCGGTTTGAGCACTGACGCAGGGTGCCCAAGGTCCAACCGCGACTGACAGAGATGCCAAGCCTGTGAGCTGCTGCTGACAGTGATATAGCAATCTCATCTGAGTCATTGCAGCAGTAGGAAAAGGGAGCCGATCATTCCCACTCTGTGACCTTGTGGTGGTGTGGTCTAATCAGAGAGGAGCGCTGGGGAACATCTGAGCACGGGGAAGAGACAAATGAGACATCCCACCTTCAGTCTCACTGATGTGCTCAAGGTGCCCTTGCGCAAAGCAAACTGTCACCTCTAACCCCTGCTCAGCAAATAGTACAAGACTGGCTTGCACTGTGCCAACTCCCAGGTGTGTTTGTGTGAGTGTTTGTGCAGCTGCTAACAGTCTCTGACCTGATTTTTTCCCCCTCTGCTATTTAATGTACACTATCAAATATATTACAACTGCCAGGAAACAAAAGGCAAAACTGATATGAGTGACATATCTGTCAGATTTCAAAATTAAATTTTATAGCTCCATGGATTTGATATTTGTTGCCTTCAATAAACACAGCTGTCCTTTTTTTTTATTCTAAAACCACACTTTGCCCCAGGACGACCCATGGAAAAATAGCTTGCTGTGTTTACATGTTGCTTTCATGTATTTATTTGGTCAAATAGTTCTAAAGCTAAAACAGAAGTGGCCTCTTTCAACTTAACAAAGCCACACATTTATGCTGAGTGCTTCATGTGTAAGACTTAAACCGTCTTGTTCTGTCTCATCCTTGACAAAAAAATAAAATTTTGAATGCTGCAGTGCTGTTCAAACTGCACTCCTAATTGTTATCTACAGTATTTGTGCTATATAAAGTATTCGCTGTGACAGTGGTAGTCTTGGTGTTGATGGTGTTGGTGCAGTCTGACTAGTGTACAGTGGTAAACCAAATAAACACTTCCTTCATGAGTAATAAATGAGCAACTTTTGCAGATAAAGGCCTCTGAGATTTGAGTTATCCTATCTGCTAAGACAGCCCAGACCTTCAGGTGACTTTACAGCAGCCATTAATCTTGAATTAATTTAGCAAGACAGACAATGGAAGAATTAAAGGATAGGTTCTCTGTTTTTCAAGCCAGTTCTCATTTTAATTTAGCTTCCTATCATTTATAATAGTCCATAGGATGACTTTGAAATGTGCTTGGAAACATTTGTGTCAAAAATATGAAGTTGTGCAACACAAAGTCGTTGAACCTGTCGGACGCATGTGACTGTGACTTGTTTTTACATAAATACAGTAGTTAAGCTGTCACTACTTTCACCATCCATTGTATGGCTTTTCTGGAAAGGGGAAGGGGAAAGCAAGATTCCTTCCTGTGAGGTCCATCCCAAGGGTCGTCGCATCTTGTCCCTAATTAAGTTTTTGTGGAAGGGTTTCCCCTCGTTCTCACTGAAGATGTAAGGCTGGAGTGCCATTTTCATTTATCATTTTCATTTATTGTTTCATTGTAAAGCCATTTGAGACTGTAATTGTAATTAGATGCTGTAATAAACTAGATTTACTGTGAGCTCCTGTGGGTGAGGAGAGGGAGAAGTGCTGGCCAGCTCTGCCAAAGCCCTGAATAGAGCCAGAGTCTGGGTGTCTGATTGAAGGTCCTGTGTGCTTGCTAGTTCCCTGCCTATATCATCAATACCACCTGCTGTGTAAGCTGCCATTTGGCTTATTTCTTTAATCTCTCTCCTTATTTGTTTTTGGTTGTAACCTCCCAACATGTCTTCATGTACTTGTAATACTTGCAAACATGTCCAGCTTAAAGCATGACATTTCACACACGTTTCACATTTTATTTAGTTGTCTTACCTTTAAATGAAATGGCTATGCAGGGGCTGTATGAATGCAAGCACAATGTGCCATTTCCACAGTTACCAAGTGCTATACAGTTAGCTCTCTCAATAATTCCTTGAGCCGGCAAAATCATGTCCTCCAGCTAATAATTATAAACTCTGGAAAAACTGACACTGAGATATGTGTCTCTCCACTGCTTTTGTTAATTAGTACCAGCTTGTGGACAAAGATGTGTTGGCTTTTGAAAAAACTGTATGCAGAAAAAGTGCGACAGGAATGGACAAATATTGTGTAATGTAAAGAACCCATTAGCTTTTAGAATGTATTCAGTACGTGAGGTATTCTCAACCCTAACAGCTCATAAAGCTGACCACGACTGCATCTCCAAATCTGTCTTTTTCAGCACATTCCAGGTCCAAGCACTGTAATCCCTGTAGTCAGGTTGGTTGAGGTGCAGACTTGAGGCTCAAAGGTTGGCCAATGCAGTTCAGTTTGGATGTGAATGTGAAATTCTTAACGCTCGATAACAAGTACTTCTGGGGGTCACTCTGAGTGAGACACTTAAGCCTCAAGAGGTGCAGCTGGCCAAAAGGTTGCACTTGGCGGCTCTAAGGTGTGAACACATGTATCTGAATGTCATGTCGACAAGCAATCTCATTGTTACATCCAACCTTTCGGTTTTTGCCCCCCCCGCCCCCTTTTTTCTTTTCTCTGCACCTAATGAGTGTGACCTTTTTGACATTTTGTATTCCTGAAAGTGAGGCCGCTGTTTTTCCTACATTCATTATCGTACATTGGAAATTCAACCAAGGGGCCCGGGTGCAAGGGTTGTCAGGGCTGATAAATAAATGTAAGATGATTTGATTTCTTGATGTTTGTTTATTTTTCCATTAAGGTGATGCAGATTCTTGCAGCATTGTGTCTTCAGATGAGATCAATCAGTGCTGAGCCGCCTTGTGGTAGCTCTGGGTAGCTGCTTAAGTTAATGAACAATCAATCCTTATCACTATGCATTAAACGCTGTCATGATCGTGATGTGTAAACTGTGCAAAAGTGCATATATTTACAGTTACAGCTTTGCACAAGTTCAGGCAGGAAACAAGTTATGCACGCCGCCTCAGTTAGCCATCAGCTGATCCCAATTAGCTCTAATTACTTTCAGCATTTAATGCCAGGCAGTTCATTTAAGCTGTCACCTCTTCATTTAAGCCATCAGCTCCTCTGTCATTCAGTGGTTCTACAACACTGCTCATTGTGTGGATTTACAACCCCAGCTTCTTCCTGGTCTGGTTCCCTAGTATCCAAATACACATGCGGTGGTATATTTCTATAGGCCTGTCTCTCATAATGACATGCATTCCACATCTCAGTGATATGTGTTTGTAGGGCTCTGGTCAGTACAGCGCCGGGGCGAACTGATCTTGAGTTGTGTAGATTCTGACAGGGAGAACTGTAGAGGGCAGAGTCTCTGTTGCCAAATAAAACGGCGTGCACATTTTAAGAATAATAGCTTTCACTTCATGACAGGAATGCTTCTGACTTGAAATGTGCACGTTTATCACAGAGCACAAACCTTGCATTTAAAAGGGGTATGCTGCTTTAGGAGGAGTTACAGTGTATAAAGCAAGCTGTATGATCATCACATAAAAATCAAGCAACACAAATCATTGTCAACCGTATAATGAATCACCGAATGCTTTGGGATTCAGCTCATGAACACTGTTTGTCATGGTCCCAAAAAGGAATCTTGATGCTAATTGGTTTTGAAATATATTGTTGCTTGTTAACAAGTCCCCATTTCATCCATCAATCTGTCCACTCTCTGTAAGCATTTTCCTGTCTCACAAAATAGGGAATTTGTCAGTGTGCTCCTAAATGGAGATCCATACATAACCGTAACAACACTGAAAAAGGATGTTAAACTTATGTATCTAGCACCATCATGGGTAAAAACAACCAAAGCTGTTGGTGAACAGTTTGACCATCTACAATTCCAACCTCTAGCCACTTACTTTCAGCAGAACTATGAAATGGTTGCACTACTTCCAGTTGGGCACTGATGATAGTGTCCAGTTGCCATGTAAGTCTAAATTTTAGGGGTTTTGTTTAATAAAAATTTACTGTTTAACTAAGTTTTCTAGTTTTTTATTTAGTCATTTTTGGTCTTAAGCTGCCCAAATGAAATCCCCTCAAAGACTTAGCAGCAATCTGAACTGAACAATCTGACCATTTAGCTCAAAACATCGTCGTTACCAGGTCATTTTTCATTTTTACTGTAGCCTGAATGTAACTCAACGACATCAAAGATATTTTCCATATTAATATGGAATAATCTTTATAATGTAGCCTGTCTCTCAAAAAGAAGAATGGAGGCTACTCGCAATAATATTGCTACATTTTGTTTGAAGTCCATGTAACGTGACCCCCACACCATTACTCAGCCTGCCTGCAGTTAGAGTGAGCACGAGAGGAGAGAAAGAGAGAGCTTCAAAACTGTAATCAAAACATTTAAATGTAGGCCTATTTGCTCCGCCTAGTTAACAGTCCGCCGCAAAGTAGCGAGAGAATAACATGACACACCTGACCGCGGCTCAGACACCTGTCGCTCTCTTTGCTGTCTATTTTCTCCTCGCTCAGAGACACCTTTGTTCTGTTGGTCTGTCTCTCTGCTCCAGGATGTTTCACTCTGAAGCAGCTGTGAGCTGCACTTTATCAGAGGTACTGAAGTTAACATTTGTGTGGATTTGTGGTGAAATTTCTGTCTGATCACAAGTCTTCCATTTTCTACCTCTGATGAAGAGCAGTGTGCTCATCTCATCGAGTACAGTCCCAGACGGGCCCTGTGTCTGTCAGACGGTCTAAAGGGGGTAGCCTACTATCATATCAGTAGAGCAATAACGTAAGTATTTTGACTTAATTCTCATCAGATTGCGATTTTATTCTCGTAATATTACGACTTTTGTCTCAAAGTATTATTCTGCAAACTTCAAACAAAGTTTTGAACATGAGCAGAAACCTGCTGAAACACAGGAGCTATTAAAGTCCAGGTGTTTATAGCTGAATTAAAATGAATTAAGCTAATTTATCATTGAGGTGAAAAGGTGCCTCATGCACATTTAAAATGACTTTAAGCTACTTCAGGCATGACTGCATGTATGTAGACTCTGCAGGGATGAAATTAAATGAGAAAAGTTGATCTACTGGAGAAACATATCTGACAGCAATACAGAATGCCTGAGAGCCTTACTCCATTATATTACACTATAATAAATGTATTTATATGGCCTTTTTAATAATTAAAATGTAGCTCAATGATTTATAGGTAAAGTATAGGTATAAGGTTCAGTTTGACAAATGTCATAATGAGGTAGAAACAGAAAATGAGGCAGTTGATAGATTTGCTGTGTGTTATTTTGTTGGTCAATACAAGTAAAGATCATTTACTTTTGCTTTATATAGACTACTTTGATTAGGCGGCGGCGGCATGCGGGGGGTATGGGGTTGACAACAGGTGAAAACATGAAAGCTTTCTAGGCAGGGCTAAGCCCCCAATCAGGAATGGAAATTAACACCCACCACCCACCAAATACGGCCAAATGTTGGAAGGCTACCCACCACATTGGCGGGTAAATATATTCACCATCTATTTGACGGTAATTAGCAGCAGACTGGTGTTCTTATTTGTTGTTTGTCGCACTTAAATTGGTCTCCGAAGTACCAAGGGATCTAAAATTGTGTAACACATGGATAAGGGTGTTCATTGGTTTTTGTTTTTGTCTTTTCATGTCTCTGATTGGCGTAGATTTGTGAGGGGTGGGGGTTAGGTGTCAGGTGACAGGAGTCGGGAGGGGAGAGTGAGAGTGTTGCTGCTTTCATGTGGAGATCAGCGCAGAAAGAATTACCGCATTTATGTCGCATTCGCTTATTCATACTGAACAAAAGTTTGCTGTTTTATCCCATGTGAAAAGGCCTTTATCCCGCAATCATGTGTACTTTCACATAGCGGTCCGGCTTTACAGGAACCAGCGGCATGTCGGCTGTGGCTTTTCACAAACAGATCGTTCTTTGTCTTTCTGTCTTGTTTCTGTCACCAACTTTCCCTGCTCAGAGGCGAATAAAATCTGCTCCATACCTTTCATAAAGCAAGCTGGCAGTACCCCCGTGAAATAAGGCAGCGTGAAAGCTAGTGTTAGGAGCTAATTACAACTGTTGTAATAGGAGTGTTTTTAGCTGGGTAGTTGGAGGTCCAGTCAGTGTCTGACACACTGTCAGATCTTCTAATTGCACAGCTGTCCTCCCCAGAGATCAAGGAGTATGATCCATAGGCTGTAATAAAAATGCTGATCCCACAAAAGCTGTGATTCTGAGACACCAGGACTCTGTCAGAACCAGGAGGCCAGAAGAGGGTGATTGTAGAAAGTGAGCAGTCTGAGGAGGTTTAAGTTGAATGATCAAGCATGACAAGAGTGGGCAATGAGATTTAAGTAAATTATTAATAAGCATTTTGTAAGTTTAGAAAACAATTTACTTAATAGCAATAAATTCAAATTACCCTCTGGCCTCTTCTTTAAGTTTGAATTTGACATAATACCTTTTTATCTCAATTAAAAGGACGGAATCAGATGTATATGTGACACGAAAGGCAGTTTATGATTTTGTCCGGTAAAAAAAATGTTTTTTTCATCTACCAGCCACCTTGGCAGGTGAGCCAAAAAGTTAATTTCC